TATGTATATACATACATACAGACATACATACATACATACATACGTACATACATACATACATACATACATACATACATACATATGCGTGTGTAAATATATACGTAAATATGTACATATATATGTACACACAAGCACATGTAGGCATATGTACATATACATACATACACACATATACTTCCATCCATCCATCCGTACGTACATATACGTATATCATATATACATACATCCCGATGTCTTGTGTACACGTGTAATTCGTGCATATATATGTATATATGTACATATATATATATATATTGTTGTCTTGTATTATATTATATTCCATTCCAGCCTACACTAGTCTAGTCTAGCACATAATATTTTAAGATACAACACTCTATCATAACATATGATATGGTATTATATCATAGTATAGGAAAGCATGAGAGAAAGATGCAGCAGACTCCAAGGCTGTGGCGCAGAGTTTAAAGCACGGATGAAGTGGAGCACTCATGCTCCCATAAATGATAAGCTGGGAAAATTCGCCAGCTCCCTTAAAAGATAAGCTGAGGAGCCTTTTCGCTGTCCTTAAAGCGAAGGTCATCCTCCTCATCGATGGTGCGCACCTGGCTAACAGTTGTCGGCGCATTCTGTGAAGCTCTGCGACTCTATGATGTATCACGGCTAGTTACACTCGGAAGCTGGAGCAGCCGCCTTTGGCATCTCTTCTGGTGGAAGCTCCTGGCAGCTTCTAACACTTTCGGTTGACGGGCCGGTCGAGTCTTACATTTGCGGACGTCTCCGTTCACATTCGAACTGGACGTGCAAGGCATCTGCCAGAAACAGGCGGATCACCTGGACCCTCGGCCGGGAGGCAGCCATCTCCTCCTTGAGGCACGCTTTGTCAGTTTCCAAAAAGATGTTCATTTTATTGGCAGGCTTCTGCAAAGCATCCTCCAACGCTCAGCCCAATCACAGCATGACATGCGCAATCATGCGCACCCGGCACCTCGTCGAGAGGTTTCTGGAGTGCGGGCAGCGGTGTTGGCAGTGTCCGGATCTTGGCCGGCGCCGAGGCTGCAACAAATTCGTGACGATGAAAGGCCTTGGCTTGAGTTTCAGAATGTATCCTTTGGAGTTTCGAACTGAAAAACGGAACACCCAGCAATTCTACCGGACCTCGAAGACCGTGGGCGTCGGCCCTACAGGAGCGTGCCTCGCAGACGCCAGAAAAAAAAAGGCTAAAGGAAGGGCAAGGCCCTGAATGCTGTCACTATTGTTCTTGTTTCCATGAAGATTACTGTTTGAATCTCACTGTTATGATTACTGTTGTTTCTGCAATTTCTGCGATGAGTACTGGGATGACCATTATTACTAATGGGATTCTTGGGATTCTTGTCATCACCTTTTGGTTTTATTCGTACGGTGGGGCCTGGAGAGCCCTCCACCGGGTCGGCTTGGGTCCCAGAGTTCCCACGCAGAGGCGGAAGGCGGCATGGCGATGGATTTCGGGGCTTTGACCCGCTCTGGACCGGAGCTTTCGAGCTTGAGATCGGGAGCTAAGGTTCGTTGGCTCCTCGGCTGTCTTATGGTGAGCTCTAGTGAGTGCCAATGAGATCCAATGAGAGGGGCTCTGCATCCAAGACGTCAGGGACTTTCGACGGCTCTCCTGTATCATACGCGAATGCTGCGGGAATGAAGCAAACGAACTCGGAGCGAATTCAACGAGATCGCCTACGCGCGACCCCGCAAGGGAAGGCTTTCAGAAACAGCTACGTGGCGCGAGGAGCTGGCTCCACGTTCAGCTGGGCCGAGGATGTAGGGCCTTGGATCTGTCAGAATCAACAAACGGCGGCAAAGCCACGGCACACGGGGCTGCCTCTGTCAAGGAAACCAGCAGTCGCAGTTCCCTAGCATCAGACGGCTCATGTCGACACGAACATGCTGAAACGGGAACACAAACATGAGTCTGCATGGTCGGTTTGTTGACAGGCCGGACATGCCGCGTGGCCAGTGCGCCGTGCTGCATTCACTCCTCTCCTTCTGAGGTCCCGCACATCTGCGTCATGAAGTTGGACATGACACCAAGCTCCTTGTTGATTGTCATGGTCGTCCACCTCAGTCTCACCACAGACAGCTTCCAAAAGATCCCTGCATATCCTGCATGGTGAGAATGTGACAGAAAGTAAGTGCACCGTGCAACCTGCCATCACATCACATGCCCTCGAGGCCAATTCACAGCTCATGTAATGGTCATGGTGAACACTAGTTTGAGGGGGGGTGCTCCTTGTTATAATTATAGTATAATGGGCCCCAAAACCCTATTCTAATTCTTAAGACCCCTAAACCTCAAACCCTTATAGTAGCCGTCACTGTAGCTATCACTTCAGGCACTGCGGGCCGCACCAGGCGTTTGTTGGCTTCGCACCGTCGCGGCCGAAGCGGCCGGAGGGAGCTGCTTCACCCTCTCGATCCACCTGCGGTATGGGACCGGAGGCCCTAGGGTTTAGGGTTTAGGGTTGTTTAGGGTTTAGCCCAAGAGAACCATTCGAAGTGCAGGTTGAACGACAAACTCCTGGGAAGAAACCATGGAGGATACTCATTGCTGACACTCGGTCCCACAAAGCCCGATAATCCAGAACCTAAGGCCTAAGGGGTTCGTGGTCTCGCCTCCAGAAACGGCACGGCCTTGTCGCTCAGAGGAGGGCGGCTCTCACTGGGGGCACAAACCACAGGACCTGTCAGCCGCGGGATTTCTCGACTTCAGGGTTGCGACGTTGTTTGGGGCTTAACAGCTGAGCAATTTGAATTGTTGTTCGGGATTTCTCCGCTAGGTCAACAGGAATCGCTTCGATACACCCGTCTTCGTTGGGCACATCATGGCACATCCGAAGCACGCCCTTACACAGCACGCCCTAAGACATAGAGTGGGTCTCAAGGACATCGACGTGCCATGGTGTTTAACGACACATGCTTGGAAAACTGACCTTTTTTATCAAGGACAGTCCCTTTGTACACACCAAATCGATGCTTGCTGCAGCAACCTTCGTTGATTCGTGGCTTGGTTCAGACAGGCAAACAAATCGTACTGACAAGGCAACCGTATGCCCTGCTGGTCTGCTCTGAGACCCCGCGGCTCAGTGCCGACGAGTTGTGAAGAAGCGGGCCGCGCTTCAGGAAACTGGGAAGCTTCGGAAATCCACGGGAAGCATTCAATGTCTTGCATGACGGCCCTCAAAAGTCCCGACAACCTTCAAAGCCCTAGGCCGACAGAGACTCTCTTGGCTCAATGTTTGCCTGAGATGGCTCCCTGACCCGAAGACTCCTTGCAGACAGAAAGGCTGACAGACAAGGCACTACAAAAAAGTAGACAGGCTGCAGTTCCTTGTGTGCCCGGCTCCTGCTCGGCGGTGGCATCGAACATGTGGCAGCTGCTCTCAATCTGCAGAGTTGCACTATTTTGCACAACCATTACTTGCAATCTTTTGAAGTTGGGAGTGTAGCACGTCGGTGTTGAGTGCTACGAGTGCTACGAGCGACGGATGTCGGAAACTCCGAGATGTGCAAGCTTGTAGTGTCGTTTGTGTTCGAATGCCCAGTCCACCAGAAACCTGAACCCTGATGATTACCCTAGCACAAGACTAACGGTTCCAGCTCATTCCGGTCAAGTGCCTTTGGCGGTAAGGTGGGCAATGCGTCCACCAGCCGTCGGTCCTGGGGCAGTCTTACCCTGTGACAAGAACTGGCACTGGGACTGCTGGGATTAGCAGCCATGAACTAAAAGTTCCCACTTCGCACAGTCTGGCTTCGAATGTCGCTAGGAATTGCAGTCTCCAAGGCGAGCGATGGGAACAAAAGGCCGACCCACTTATCACAGAAGCGATCGGTTTTCCCCTCCTGGCTCGTGATGAAGGAGAACTGCCAGCAGTCGATCTGCTTCACCTAGTTTTGGGGATCCGGTGTCTCTGGCACTCTCTAGTGGACCCTGGAACTCATGGCTGCGAGCCGTTGCTTCCCAACAGCAACGGTATACTAGTGACAATCGAACACAATGACGAGACATCATCGACATCGTTCTCGACCTTCAACACTAACATCACCATCAACATCAACATCAACATAACGCTACATAAGATCACGAGTTCGAGCGATGTGAGACGTACTATCAGCAATACCTTCTGGCAGCAGCACGATTAAGCGCAACTACCGCAGATAAAGCCTAAACTGCTGGATGCCCGAGGCGCTCCCGCGCATAATGCGACAGTTCGCAACTTTGCGAATTTCAGGATGTTGCCATGGTTGGGGGCGGCTTTGTTCACTACTGGGGAGCAGGGACCTGAGGTCTACACAGCGTCATGCAGGTAACGGGCTTTGGGGCTAGGCGGACCCAGCCCGTCCAACCCCAGAAATACTGAAGTGTCGGTCTCTAGTCGCAGCGCACGAAGCATTGCAAATACCAAGCAGATGCCGAGTCCGAAGCTAGTCACTGCACAACTGTACCAAACGTCGTGAATACCGCGACCAAGCTAAGAAAGTCCACCACAGCTCACAAAAACCTGGAAACTCGAAATGCACAAAACTGCAGGGAAAACTTGGATCATGTGCACAGCCCGAAACAGCAGAACCCTCGTATCGAATGCAGAATAAAGCTAGTGCTGGGACACCCTACTCCAACTACTCGGCTATCATTAATCCCATGTTGGGCCTTCGAAAGTCAAAGCTGATACAAAACGAGGCTTGCCTTCATCATAGCGGCCGCGAATACTTCTGTTCGTTGAGTCATGGCTACAAACCTGCCTTTAAAAAGACTTACATCCAGATTCTTCTAGGGCTGCGGCGCAGGCGGCGCGACACTCTGCAAGGGTCTCCAGTCCTTAGCACAGCTCTGTCTGCTTTTGCGATGCGTGACCGATAATGATTCGTAAAGATCTAGCATGAGGATTGTTCTTCTCGCAAGTTTTTATCCTTCAATCTTACATATGACTACTGTATAGGCGAAGCTCGGGGCATTTCATTGTCTGACGAGAGAGCCCTCCCTAGCAAGTCGGCCAACTGGAGGGTTTCGGGATAAAGCGAGGAAGAATGTCAGTGTGGGCATTTTGTCAGGGGACGGTGCGGTGCTCAGCTCAGAAGCGTTGCCCACTTTGCTAAGCGGTAATTCATGAATCCCACAACCTTCCGGCCACGTGCATTGCAGAAGTGTCGAAATCCTAGCCCGGTGCAGTCGCCCAAATGCTCCTACGGTTTAATTCCTTTTTGCAAAACTGTCGGACATTGTGCATTGCGCATCTTTGCGCCTTGCAGGGCTTTAGCCCAAAAATAGGGATGCCTCAACAGCTCACAGCGATTTGCCGAGGTGCACCGCAATCCCGTCTGAAGACCCTTCGGGTCGGACCAAAGAAGCAGATATTTGTAGGTGTCTCGGGTTTCTCGTCAGAGAGGAGAGCCCTACGAGATCCCTACTTCATGCATCTTCATTTTAAAACTGAAACATATATAATAAGTGCATCCGCTGACATCACAAAGCAAAGGATGCAGAACTCGAGTATGGCGCGGTTCCGCTGCAATCAGTGGCGCATGTCCTCGTCGTCTAGAGGGTAGGCCACAACAGCTGAATACGCCCGATCCACCAACTCTCCTCAGAGAGACTGACATGGGTTTGGGGATGTTTGGGGTGCCGGCAGTGCCCCTCAATCCCTTCAAAGTACGAGTACATGTTCTCACTAACCTTCACGCACATCGCTTCGAGCTGGTGGTCGTTGAGGACATGGCTTGGGCTGCCTGCCCGTGGGTCTTTAAGGTGAGGTTCCGAACAATCTCACGACCGAGCTCCCAACAACACAGGTCACAAACCTGGCACCAAAAGCTCAACGCATCCAGGCTTCTCGACCCAGCTGGAGCCAAGTCCGTCGTGAGGCCCTGTTCTGCCCTTGCATGGTGCATTCGATGCAGGTGTGGCTGTACTAAGAGAGATTACAAGACACGTGTTCACAGGTAGCGATGCTCACGACGAAATGGACATAGATTCTAGTCTACGTGCAGGCCCGAGTGGCATTCTTTGGCAGGTCCTGTCCAGTGTCTGCGCAGTGAGTGTACAACATTTCCTTAGCGCCACTGATTATTCGGGCGTTTCTCCGGGTAATGCAAGTCGTGCTGTTTCCCGGGCAGCAAGCATGCACGGAAACCACGATTGGCAACTGCAACAGGAAACATCCAGCAACACTGGTACTACTGGTTGACAACATTGTTTCTGGTGAGACAATGAACAAACTTGTTGTTGAAACGGAGGAAGCAAGTGGAAGTTCAGTAAGTAAGGTACTGACCCCGGAGGTTGCTGTAAGAAACAAGGGCAGCTGCAGCTGCAACACAAGCACCCACAGCGGTAGTAGTAGTAGTAGTAGTAGTAGTCGTCGTCGTCGTCGCCGTCGTCGTCGTGACAGCAGTAGCAGCAGCAGGAAGTCGTAGTAGTAGTAGTAGTAGTAGTAGTCGTCGTCGTAGCAGTAGTAGTAGTTGCAGTAGTAGCAGTGGTAGTAGCAATAGTAGTAGTAGTAGTAGTAGTAGTAATTCGCAGTAGCAGCAATAGTAGCAATAGTAATAGTAATGGTGATAGCGTAAGTGATAGTCATAGTAATAGTAATAGCAATAGTAATAGTACTAATAATAGCAATAGTAAAAGTAGTAGTCATAATAGTAATCATAATCATAGTCATAGTCATAGTCATAGTCATAGTCATAGTCATCGTCATCGTCATAGTCATCGTCATCGTCAT